GCAACTTGAGCTAATCACAACACCCCACTACTCGAAACTGCACAAGTTTAAGACAAAAAAGAAAGCGTTCTGAAAGCAACGGGACATCATTTATGCAACATCAAATGATGGGAGGATAATAATTCCATGGTGTTTAAAATACAGAAGTTGATGTAAAGATAATGGAGAGAGAGAAATATGAGATTTAGTTCCAAAAATGCAAGGCATTTCAGCTACTGTAATCCACTAATGATTGAAGCTAGAGCGCATTTGCAACTTGCAAACCGATACAGTAGGCCAATTCTTCATGAAATCAGTTCATGGACTGGAAGCGTTTCATAATGATAAGACTCATATCCATATAACGCTGAGCACAGTTAGAAAGGCAAGATGATTCACTTGAGCTGAACTTGCTCCCCGGTGAACTTGTGATGCATTTGTCCCAGCATGCACTTGTAAGCTTTGCCACCATCTCATTAACCATAGCTCTTTCCTTTTCTTGCTGCAAAACCAAAAAAATCATTCCAAAATCAGAATCACATACATCATTGTAAAATATCAAAGATCCAGCAAGGTGATGACAGCAACCATCCCTCACTACCTTAAGAGACTTAAATTACAAAAAAGGGCTCCCCAACATTTGTCTTCCTTAAGATACTCGAATTACCAAAAAAACAACAATCCCCTCCACTAGTCTTCCTGCTAACTCTCTGTTCTAAGCAGACATGCAATCTCAAATTTATCCCATCATAGTTACTCATAAAATAGCACAATTACCCGTACAATTAAGCCCATGATACCAAATGACAGTTCTGAATTCTTCACGAAGCGAATCAAATAGTTTAAAATTTAGTGTGATAACATAAAACCGCATCAGCACCTTCCCTCAGCAAGAAACAAGAACCAACAACACAGTACTATAAGAGGACATTCATCAAGAATATTATCCACACCAATAATATACCGAAACTGTACATACAAAAATTGAGTTTACTCATCATATCAGCAAAAAACCCAGCATACAAAATTTTCCACTAACCCCATTATTCAAATTATCCAACCAAATCAGGTTGTCCGATCAAGCTTGAATTGTTTTGCAATAACAACTCAATACAATACAAAGATTAAGACAAAAATTACGTTAACCAGACAACAAAACAATGAAGTGGTAGTAATGACCAAAAAGTTGAGACCTTTAATGAATCAAAGACTAAATCATATTCTCAACAAGAAAATAAAAACCAAAAGTGTAAATCTTTCAAAAAATAAAACTCAAGAAAATAAAAGGTGGGAATTTGGGAGCTTTAATGACTCAAAGACTAAATCATATTCTAAACAAGAAAATAAAAACCACAAGTGTAAATCTTTCAAAAAATAAAGCTCAAGAAAATAAAAGGTGGGAATTTGGGAAAAGGGAAAGAGGGATTCTATACTTACATTAAGGAATCGTTCCAATTCAGCTGAGTTAACTGATGAAGGATCCATTGTTTTAGTTTCTTTGATTTTTCTACCTGGGTAGCTAGCCTAAAACCCTGCTTTTGTTTGACGACCGCTTCCTTCAAAACCCTAAGCCAAAGCTTCTCCTTGGAACCAAAAGAAATAGTAGGAAAGCGGTTAGTGAATGCTTCTTGGGCTTAAATTCAATGGGCTGCCAAAATACTTCGGCAATTCTTTCTAAAGTCATTTTCTACATTTACAACCCAAACAAAAGCAGTTCAACCCGAGACTCCAGCACCTAATTTGACTTTTAAAAAAATCAATTAAAAAATATCTAATTTAACCTTTTTAACTTGTAGATTCAACCCATAATTCATTTGAACTTTTTTAAAAAGCTGAAATTACATCGGTTAATCTATCAAAAATCTAAGTTAATCTACTAAAAAATTCAAGTTAATCCTTTAATTTGATTAAAAATCTTGATTAATAAGAACTAAATCCAGTCAAAAACTTGATTTTTAACCCTTTAATTATTTTTTTAATGAAAATATTATTATTTTTAGTTTTTATTTTTTTAAAATCTAAATGTTAATACTTTTAACTCCTAATCGAGACTTTATCCCTTTAATGGGTTATACAATTATACTTGCGATAAAAGACAAGAATAGTAAACAGATTTTTTATTGGATTTGAACCTTCGATACAATTATGCTAAATTAATTCACCTTCGATATAACCCGAAGAAGCAACACAAGTTGATAAAGTGGACTTGCACATTCATGGAACGAAAAGTGTGCTCCAAGGTCCATGATTGTGTTAGCATAAACAAGCTTTCTTATGCATTAAGCATCACCTTTTTTAAAAAAAAACTATCAAATAACCACTAATTGATGCCTGATAAAAAGAGGTTAATTATATGTATGATTGTCAACGTATTGATCAAAATAATAGTAAAATAATTGCTGTTTTATGCAATGGGGTTCGTCTTCTCTTCTCAGTCATCGTCAAAGAAATTATGGTTTGAAATTAGCTAGCTGAGGAAAAGTGACAACTGTACCACCAACTACGACCCCATTCTCAATTAGGTCATCAAGAAACAATTTTTCCAATCGAATCCCCAATCTAATGACTCTCACTCAATTTAACCCACCAATCCAATTAATTGAGGTCCCAAATTTCCAAAATTCAAACACTAGAATTCTATCTTAGAATACTCTTGAAAAATTCAGGCACAGCAAAACTCAACTTTGTTTTTTTTATCTAGTTTTAAACTAGTCATTAATAACCAAATTAGTGTATTCACAGTAATTGTTTTCTTTATGATCTCTATCTTGAATAATAACATGAGAAAAACTTAATTATCACTAGATTGAGTCTATTAATTAGTAGCTGAGTTAATTTAATGGGTGACAATTATTTTGTCCAAACTGCTAGAATTAGACAATTTGGATAAGAATGCATGCATGATGGAATAACTAGGACACTTAGTGATGTTAGACATGTTCTCAAAAAAAATTTGTTTTCCCTATCTATCTTAGTAGTTGTGTCATTTTTTGGAAGAGAACTTTACAATCTATCATACCATTGTTTATCCTAGACGTAGGATACAAGATAATTACTAAAACAACCAAATAAGTTATTTGGCTAAGAAACATGATTGGTGAACTCGGTTGTAATTAAAATATGACTATCATTATCGTGCTTTAATTATGATAATCAAAATTTCGTACATCTTGTAAGAGATCGCAGGCGCCATGAAAGGACAAAGCGCATTGATGTTAGTTACCATTTTTTGTAAGATGTTATTGTTGTGGATAGCATTATTGTGAAAAGGATTGGCAATTACAAATATTCAAGCTGATATTTTAACAAAATCAATCCTAATTAGGGGTGTGTAAAAAAAAACTAGAAAATCAAATAAATCAAATAGAAAAAAATAACTAATTAGAATAGTTAAAAAAATCTTGATTCGATTTAATTTTCAGTTTTTATAATATAAAAATTAGTTAATACTGACCAAACTAAACCGGTTCAAAACAAAATACTATAAATAAAAGAAATTATCGCCCCAGTAACCCTAGTCACCAGCAGCCCCCGCTCACCTCTCCCTCCCTTTTTGATCCTAGGATGAATCTGGGTGTAGAGGATCTTGCTAGTTTTGATTGTGAGAGGATGTTTATCTTTGTAGCTGAAAAAGACTATTTTATTTGACTGTTGCAGCTAAGAATTATTATGAGAAGTTGAAAAAGAGTGGTTGGAAGGGAACTGTTGAACTTGTCAAGAATGAAAAGGAAGACCACTGCTTCCATTTGCTTAATCTCGATGGTGACAAAGCTCAGGAAATGAGGTATAAGTTTGTTTTGTTTCTCAAACAAGATCAGTTCAATCTTTTGTAAAACTTTGTTGTCTATTGTCTTGGCAATGGAAGTTTTGGTATAGGTTTTTTTGATTTTTTGAAATTAAGAATTGAATCAAACCCGACCGAAACAAGTTGGTTTGATTTGGTTTTGGGTTTTTTATAAAAAAAAAATTAATTTGATTAATTTTTATAGATAAAAATTAAACCAAACTAAAAATAATTATTTTTGCTTCTAATTAAAACCTTGTAGGGTTAGGTTGGTTTTTGCAATTGAAAATCTTATAAGATTAGGATTGTGATTAATATCCTCTATCTATGAGGTTTAAGACATATTCTCATAAATATATGCTTGGGTATATTTTGGGCCTATTTTTCTAGAATGTCAATGTTGTTTTAAATTTGATCATAGTGGAA